ACCCATTTCACATACATATTGTCCCTAGTGCTTTGTCCTGTCCCCTGTCTGCATTTTGAATGTTCTTTCTGCCTGGAAACTTAGAAAAGTCCACGGCGTCCAAAAAGTGTCCCTTTAGGTCAAAAGCGGGTTTAGATCAGCTAGAGAACAGCGATAGTAAATCAGAACCACTTGCAGAATTGAGTGATAATGATTCGTGGGGAAATTCGTCATCAGATACTGAAAACGATTTTGCGACTTTGCTCAGCAATGTGCGAACTTGGCGCTATATTTCAAATTTCAGTGTTTTCGGTTTGATTATATTATTGAATTAAATGTAATATTATTATATTATTTTTTATGATTATTTATTAAATTATAATTTATGATTTTGTGTTTCAAATTTTATCATACCCGGGATGTTTAATAGACTCCTGTTCGGACAGATTTCAGTGAGTTATTCCTAAATATTACAGCCTACAATAAAAAAAGTACATATTTCCATGCAAAATAATGGTACCGCTTTCAGCACCAAAAATCTGAAATAATCATACCGCTAGGGAGGTTAAGGTAACAAACGTTTTGGCTTTAGAACCACTTTAACAAACATATGGAAAGCAAAAAAAAAACCCTTCATCTGGCATGTGGACACTCCGGATCAAGTGAAGTTGAATGTAGCTATGCACCTAATCTCCCAACAGTTCCTCTATCTAGACAGAAACCGACTCTTAGCATATGCATTTTCATCAGACCGGGAAGAAATTCAGGGAAAAAGTACAGCAAATAACGAACATCAATACAGATGGCATGCGGACACTCAGGATAAGGTGGAGATGGGAATCATAATTTTTTTTTTTGTAAAGACCCCTTTCTCAAGTGACATGGTGCTTGTAGCTGAGAGTCTGCTTTTTTTCTAGATAGATGAACTGTGGGGAGATCTTGTGCATGTTTTACAATAATCTCCACTTGATTCTGAATGTCCACATGCCAGCTAAAGCTTCTTTCTGGTATCTATTCATATGTTTGTTAATTGCTGTAGTTTTTGCCTGGATCTCCTCCCTGTTCTAATGAAAATATATGGTACTTGTAGCTGAGAGTCTGCTTCTGTCGTGACAGAGGAACTGCCGGGAGATCTTGTGCATGTACTACAATTTATTATGTCTTTATATGATGCTTCCTTTCATAAATACATGAAATCTGAAAAGCCAGGTGTTTAGTGACACCTATTATTTAGAGGGTATTATTCCTAGGTTTTTCCTGAGGAAATCCAAACCATGCTTATATCACCAACGCATATGTAACAACTCTTTTATGTACTGATGTTCTTATCTGGATGTACTTCTATTCAACTTCCTTTTGTTGAAAGTCCTTGCCCAGCAAGCCCTCCCAGAAGCCCTCCCCACAATGAAGGGATGCCTTTGCCCTTTGTAGGGGAAGGTCTGTTAGTCTTTGTGCCACTCTGGATCCAAGATGTCCTAAACGTCTGGGTTTAAAATAGAGTTTATATCCCTGCCACTCCTCAATTCTTATTTTCTAATCTGCCAGCTTCAGACCAAAAGAAAGGCAGATTTGTTGATCATCTTGTACCAACTTTAGGCACAAGGATTGGTTGTATCAATTCCTTCAGAAAAATGTTTTCAAGGTTTCTATTCAAACCTATTCACAGTGCAGATTGTGGTACCTAAAATTTCTAGAACTTAAACACACTCATAAAGAACTTCTCTTACATAGGACAGATCTAGTGCATTGTTCCTACATGAAGCTGAGGGGCAGGCCCAAACTGATCATAGGGCACACCGGACATTGGCCCGGAGGGCCTGGGCCACCTGGACAGGAGAGGCAGCCGGTTGACACATAGAGGGACCGTGCATTTCTCAGTTCCTCTATGTGCCGCCCAGCCGCCTCACCTATCAATCTCCTGCATGCGGACAGCTCTTGTATGCTCCTCAGCAGCCGCCCCCCCCATCTCCTCCAGCGTCCCCCTTCCTCATCTCCTCCAGTGGCCCCCTCCCCCATCTCCTCAAGCAGCCCCCCCATCTCCTCCAGTGTCCCCCCTCATCTCCTCCAGTACCCCCCTCATCTCCTCCAGCAGCTCACTCCGTCATCTGCTCCAGTGCCCCCCCTCATCTCCTCCAGCAGCTCACTCCCTCATCTGCTCCAGTGGCCCCCCCTCATCTCCTCCAGCGGTCCCCTCCCTCATCTCCTCCAGTGCCCCCCCTCATCTCCTCCAGCGGCCCCCTCCTCTCATCTCCTCCAGCGGCTCCCTACCTCATCTCCTCCAGCTTCTCCCCCTCTCATCTCCTCCAGCGCCCCCCCTCATCTCCTCCAACGGCCCCCTCCCTCATCTCCTTCAGTGGCCCCCTCCCTTATCTTTCTCTATCTCCTGTTTCTTGTCTTTCTTTCTTTCTCTCTCTGTCTCCCGTTTCTCTCTCTTTTTTTTTTCTTTCTTTTTCTTTCTTTCTTTCTTTCTTTCTTTCTTTCTTTCCCTCCTTCTATAAATTTTTAAAATGTTCTGGCAGGACAACTCTCACAAATGCATAATTGGCTCACACTGAATAAAAAAAAACACCTCATCTCACCAAATTGGCCCAGAAAAACATGATACACAGACATACTCAGACTTCTGGCGGATGAGCTTTGGCCTTTTCCAAAATGACCAGGCTCACTGGCTCAAAACCTCCATTCCATTCTGCTACTCTGTCACTGGCTTTAACAGCATGACAGTTGAAACCCAAGTCATAAAGGATAGGGGTATCTCTGACTCAGTCATTCCCACTTTCCAAGGAAATCCAACTCATGCAAGATTTATCATTGCACATGTAAAGTCTTCCTTATATTGTGCAAGGACAGAAGGTTTAACTCTAGAGAATACTGTATTACTCAGATTTTGACCTTTCTTCAGCCTGGTTTTGACTAGTGGTTGACCCTGAGTACTCTCAAGGGATAGGTTTTTCTTCTTTATCCATCCTCTTACAAGAACCCCTTGCCACAAATTCCCTTATCAGGATTTTACAGGGAGTTGCTCATATCATTCCCTTATTTTGAACACCTGTGTCACAATCACAATCTAAATTTGGTGCTCTCTACTCTTTAGAGAACCTCCTTTGAACTAATTAGAAACATCCTTTTTAAAGACCTCACCTTTAAGGCTGCAGTCTTGGTTGCCATCACGTGTGTTAGGTGTTTCTGTGTTAGTAGCTCTCTCTTGAAGTGAGCCATTTCTTGTCTTGAACAAGGTGATTTTGAGACCCAAACTTTCCTTTTTGCCTAAGGTGATCTCCTCTTTCCACCTCATTGAGGACATTGTCCCCTTTCCTCTGTTCTGCCCCCAATACATGACAAGGAAATTGCCCTGCATTGCCTGGATGTGGTCTGGACTTTCAGGGTCTACCTGAAAGCTACAGCCTCTATTTGTCCAACTTTTTCCTGCCAGTGGGTCCTCGTGAAGGACACCCTGCTATCAGACAACTAATTTCCAGGGCTTATGGCCTTATGAAGAAGTTTCCGCTCATTCCTATCAGAGCCCATCCAACCAGAGCTGTTGGTATATTCTGGGTTTTTTCAGCATCAAGCCTCTGCATGCCAGAATTACAAGACTATTACCTGGTCCTCTGTTCACGTGTTTTCCAAGTTCTACAAGGTCTCAGTAATTTGAGCTTTGGTCCCAAGGTTCTTCAGGCTGTTGCTTGGGTACTTCCCATGATCTATGAACGTGTCCTCTAATCTACAATTAAGATAATAGTAATTTTCACTTACCTGTAAATTCCTTATCTTGGAGCACAATACAAGACACAGTAAAGGACACAGGTCCATCCATCTGATCCTTACTGCTTGCTAAAAAAACTGGAGGTTTGCAGAGTGGGCAGGGTTTTATGGGCATGATCTAGGGGTGGTCCTAGCAAAATTGTTTTCAATCACCTAAAGGTAGCAGCATATAACTAATACCAGCAGCAGAAACTAAATACTAGTTTTGTGTTCTGTACTGTACTCCAAGATAAAGAATTTACCTGAAAATCAAAATTTCTATTTTTTTACCTAACTGAAAAATTGAGAATGTGCTTTAAATATTTCTCTAGAATAGTTTAAGAATGTCAATTTGTAATTCACTTTAAGCCAATATATAGTATATCTATATATCTGAGGCTCTGTTAGGGCTTGTTTACACCTGCAACACGGACTGCTGTGCCTCTAAAAGCAGCCCATTGTGGGATACTTTTTAGCTGTTGGCAGTTAAAGGAATAACACTTGGGAAGTGGTAACAATAAAGCTCCCATAAAATACTGCTGCTTACCAGTCCTTAGATGAGGTAGCTGCATTAATTTTTTGTCCTAAGAACATTTTCAGCAAGTACTGAAAATACTTGTGATCTTCTGAGACCTGTAGCGTCCTTGCCATTTTCTCTGACCTTACCTAAAAGAACAAACAACCATAACTTTAGACTTCTTCCACATGGTACTAAAATGGCCACATTTTTTACTGATTTGAAATTAGATGCATTGCTTTCTATGGAACAATGCACACAGCTGAGTAATGATCAGTAATACTGTGATGAGTACAGAGCCATCAAACAAAACTAGTTTTTTTTTTTCATCTGAGTGCAGTAATTTAAGCTCATACGCATGTTTTCACGTCTATAAGCATGTTTACACAAATATAAATGAGTATATTACAACACTCGCAATGAAGAAGAATTTTACTTGTCTATAAATTTACGCCTTATTATGTAATCAGCCACAATGTAAGGGAAATGACAGGCATAACTACCTTCATAGATACAGTAGAAAGGTAAGTGTAACTTATCAGGCACAGGATATAGAAAATAAAGAAAATGAAAGGAAGGAAAAAGGAAAAAAAATGAAACTAATGCAACCACCACAGCTAGGGACTGGTGAAAAATGTGTTTTAGACCTACAGTATATACACTATATTGCCAAAAGTATTGGGACACCGCTCCAAATCATTGAATTTAGGTGTTCCAATCACCTCCATGGCCACAGGTGTATAAAATGAAGCACCTAGGCATGTAGACTGCTTCTACAAACATTTGTGAAAGAATGGGTAGTTCTCAGGAGCCCAGTGACTTCAAGCGTGGTACCGTGATAGGTTGCCACCTGTGCAATAAGTCCATCCGTGAAATTTCCTTGCTACTAAATATTCCACGGTCAACTGTTAGTGGTATTATAACAGTGAAAGTAGAAGCAACTGGGAACAACAGCAACTCGGCTACGAAGTGGTAGGCCACGTAAAATGACAGAGTGGGGCAGCGCATGCTGAAGCACACAATGCGCAGAAATCTCCAACTGCCTGCAGAGTCAATAGCTAAAGACCTCCAAACTTCATGTGGGTTTCAGATTAGCACAACAGTGCGTAGAGAGCTTCATGGAATGGGTTTCCATGGCCAAGCAGCTGCATCCAAGCCTTACATCACCAAATGCAATGCTAAGCGTCGAATGTAGCAGTGTAAAGTAAGCCATCACTGGACTCTAGAGCAGTGGAGACGTGTTCTCTGGATTGAGGAATCACAGTTCTCTGTCTGGCAATCTGATGGACGTGTCTAGGTTTGGCGGCTGTCCGGAGAACGGTACTTGCCTGACTGCATTGTGCCAAGTGTTAAGTTTGATGGAGGGGGATTATGGTGTGGGGTTGTTTTTCAGGTGTTGGGCTTGGCCCCTTGATTCCAGTGAAAGGAACTCTTAAAGCAGTGTTTCTAAATCTTTTTTCCTTTGAGGAACCCTTTGAAAAAAGTTTAAGATCTTGGGGAACCCCTGAAAAAAAATTTCAGATCTACAGCTCACGAAACATTGGATCTGATCAGCGTGCTGTAGATGAAGCACATGGCTGGATGAGGAGGTGACATTCAGTGTATGGCAACACTGAATGCAGAGAGGGGGAGCAAAGAGTAGGAGCATGTGGCTGGATGAGACTGCATGTATCAGGAGGTGAGATCATAATAGCTTTATGTACCTTTATGGCATAATAACAAAAAGCTACTATCATCTCACATCCTACTACATTCAGTCTGATCCAGCTATGTGCTCCAGCTCTCTGCAGTGTGCATCACTACTGTCATACACTGGATGTCACCTCCTGCCTCCTTTCTGCCCCTCCTCAAGCACTCTGCATCTCTAAGATCTCACCTCACATACAGCCACATGCTCTGGGGGCTTTCTGCTTCCTCCTCCCCACTCTGCAATGCTGCGGCTGTAACAGGATCTCACCTCCTGACCCAGTCATGTGCTCCAGTGGCTAGCAGCTCTCTGCCCTCCTCCCTACACCACCTCTTGCAATCTGTAGCTGTAGGCTCTCACCTCCCAATGCAAGCCACGTGCTCCTGCTCTGTTTCAGCGCTGTCACAGAAAGCTGCCACCTCCTTCTTCTGTTCCTGCACTCAGCGCTACTCCTGGCCCTGCCCTGTAACTTTATATGGGCTGGAACTACAGTGCTTTGAAAAAGTATTTATACCCCTTGAAAATTTCCACATTTTGTCATGTTACAACCAAAAACGTAAATGTATTTTATTAGGATTTTATGTGATAGACCAACACAAATTGGCATATAATTGTGAAGTGGAAGGAAAATGAGAAATGGTTTTCAAAATTTTTTACAAATAAATATCTGAAAAGCGTGGCGTGCATTTGTATTCAGCCCCCTGAGTCAATACTTTGTAGAACCAACTTTCGCTGCAATTACAGCTGCAAGTCTTTTTGGGTATGTCTCTACCAACTGCACATCTAGAGAGTGAAATGTTTGCCCATTCTTCTTTGCAAAATAGAGGGTGGGCAACTCAACTTGAACCCTATGGACTAAGACTGGGATGCCGTTAAAGTTCATATGTGTGTAAAGGCACATATGTGTCATGTGTCCTATTACTTTTGGCAATATAGTGTAGTTGTCTGTAAAATTTTACAAAGAAGACACATTTTTGGCATAGCCTGTATGGCTTTAGCTTTGTACAAGACAGGAGAAAATATTAGTACATTCTTTATTCAAATGTCCCCTTTTGTACCCCAATGACAATTATGTAAACAACAATATTAGTTTATTCTTATTGTTTTACTGCAGCAATGTAGTGAGACCAAGTCCCTGGGGAACAGCATGGTTGAGAGTGGAAACTAAGCAGGCTTTTGGGCTGACCTGCTAAGGTATTTGAGAATCTACTCAAACATTTTTTGAATACTTAATTCAATTATTTAATCACATGAAAAACATCTGCACATGATTGGATTTTCAAAGTGACAAGAATTTTACATGAATGTAAAACTGAAGTGAACATTTTCACACTTTTGTGAGACAAGATTCTCAATCCCTTTAATAAAACAGCCTCAATGAATGTTATCATGTTTAAATCTCTATTATTATTATTTTTCTGTATTTACAGTATATAGCCCTATCAGTTTGGGCAGCTTGTTACAAATTACAAAGACAGTAGAGTTACAATACTATTCAAGACAAAAGTGATGAGAGGGCCCTGCTCATCAGAGCTTACAATCTAAAAAGGGAAGGGCAAGTGATACAAAAGGTAGCTACTTGGCGCAGATCAGTTGTTTGAGAAGGTAAAATTTCAGTTATTGGGTAGAGGAAGGTTAGAATTCCCTGAAGAGATGCATTTTCAGGGATCACCCAAAGGCAGACAGAGATAGTCAAACAGATTGAGAGTTCCAGAGGAAGGGAGAGGCTCTGGAGAAATCATAGAGGTGAGCATGAGGAGGAGATGAGGAGGCAAGAGAGCAGGAATTTTGGAATGAGCAAAGAGGATGGTTTAAGAAATATTTTTAGACAAGGTTGGTAATATAGCTCAGGGCAGAGTTGCAGATGGCTTAGTATATTGTTAGTATTTTGAATTTTGTGGAAGCCGGTAGAGGGATTTGCAGAAAAAGGCAAGGGACACTGAGCAGTTGGTAAAGTGGATGAGATCTATAGGATAAGTGTACCAGTAAGTAAAGAGTTGGATTTAAAACATGCAGATGTGGTAAGACAAACTTTATGCTGAACGCATCTTCGTTATAATATATTTCATTATATATTTGTGTTCATTTAAGAGGTTTTCATCTATCTCTTGCATTTCAGAGTCACAGGAGGGGAGTTGTTTGAAGACATTGTGGCAAGAGAATATTACAGTGAAGCAGATGCAAGGTGGGTATTATCCATTACTAGAGTTCCCCTTCTCCTTTCCCTTCTCACCCATGTCCCCTCCCAGCCATTTTCAGGTTAATTCAAGTCCTGTGCTGTATTAGCTATGCCACTAAACTCAGGGTTGATACATATGAGAAAAAATGTTTTACTCATACGTTTATGAGCCAGTGATTTTTCATTTGAAGTAGAAGCTCTTACACTTCATATCTTAAAGAAGTAATCCCTCTGTCTACCTTCACATACACTAAACACAAATTAAATAAAAAAATCACCACAACCAAAAACCCATTGTTTATTTTGTCAGCACTCTGTGTCAACACTCTGCTTCAGGACTATACACTTTGATCTTGAACACAATATCACCCCAGTAATGGGATTTCCCTGCAGCCATTTTCTAACTGAGCATACTATACAGATTCTTCTGAGCTCTGGAGATTTACTAACATTTCCAATGATATATATGGAAGGGGACACTGTGGATGTTGGCAGCACAGTGCCTTGAAAAAGTATTCATACCCCTTACATTTTCCACATTTTGTCATGTTACAACCAAAAACATGAACTTATTTTATTGGGATTTTATGTGATAGACCAACACAAAGTGGCACATAATTGTGAAGTGGAAGGAAAATGATAAATGGTTTTCAAATTTGTTTACAAATAAGTATATGAAAATTGTGGCGTACGTTTGTATTTACCTTTACTCTGATACCCCTAACTAAAATCTAGTGGAACTAATTGCCTTCAGAAGTCACCTAATTAGTAACTAGAGTCCACCTGTGTGTAATTTAATCTCAGTATAAATACAGCTGTTTTGTGAATCCCTCAGAGGTTTGTTAAAGACCATTAGTGAACAAACAGCATCATGAAGGCCTATGAACACACCAGACAGGTCAGGAATAAAGTTGTGAAGAAGTTTAAAGCAGAGTTAGGTTATAAAAAATTATCCCAAGCTTTGAAGATCTCATAGAGCACTGTTCAATCTATCATCCGAAAATGGAAAGAGTATGGCACAACTGCAAACCTACCAAGACATGGCCGTCCACCTAAACTGACAGGCCAGGCAAGGAGAGCATTGAACAAATAAGCAGCCAAGAGGCCCATGGTAACTCTGGAGGAGCTGCAGAGATCCACAGCTCAGGTTGGATAGTCTGTGCACAGGACAACTATTAGTCGTGCACTCCACAAATCTGACTTTTATGGAAGACTGGCAAGAAGAAAGCCGTTATTGAAAGAAAGGCATAAGAAGTCCCATTTGCAGTTTGTGAGAAGCCATGTGGGGGACACAGAAAACATGTGGAAGAAGGTGCTCTGGTCAGATGAGACCAAAATTGAACTTTTTGACCTAAAAGCAAAATGCTATGTGTGGCAGAAAACTAACACTGCACATCACTCTGAACACACCATCCTCAACGTGAAACATGGTTGTGACAGCATCATGTTGTGGGGATGCTTTTCTTCAGCAGGGACAAGGAAGCTGGTCAGAGTTGATGGGAAGAGGGATAGAGCCAAAAACAGAGCAATCTTAGCAGAAAACCTGTTAGAGTCTGCAAAAGACTTGAGACTGAGGCAGAGGTTCACCTTCCAGCAAGATAACGACCCTAAACATACAGCCAGAGCTACAATGGAATGGTTTAGATCAAAGCATACTGATATGTTAGAACGGCCCAGTCAAAGTCCAGACCTAAATCCAATTGAAAATCTGTGGCAAAACTTGCTGTTCACAGACACTCTCCATCCAATCTGAAAGAGCTTAAGCTATTTTGCAAAGAAGGATGGGCAAACATTTCACTCTTTGATGTGCAAAGCTGGTAGAGACATACCCAAAAAGACTTGCAGCTGTAATTGCAGCAAAAGCAGCTTCTACAAAGTAATGACTCGGGAAAGGGGGGGCTGAATACAAATGCATGCCACACTTTTCAGATATTTATTTTTAAAAACCTTTGAAAGCCATTTCTCATTTTCCTTCCACTTCACAATTATGTGCTACTTTGTGTTGGTCTATCACATAAAATCCTAATAAAATACATTTACGTTTTTGGTTGTAACATGACAAAATGTGAACATTTTCAGGGGGTATGAATACTTTTTCAAGGCACTGTATCAACCAATCGCATACTAAATATATTTTTTCTAGTACAAGCTAAAGAGAACACGCTAACATTTAGTTGGTTGTTGTGCTAACTATGTATTTCCTACTTTTTTCTAACATAAATCAACAACTACTGTGCTTAAATCGGAGCATTTAATCAACATTCACAGCATTTAGCTGCCTATTGGAGGTCAGTGTGAGAAATGCAGCATTGCCTGCTATAGTGCAAGTGCAGAGGTGTTATTAAACTCCCCAATGCCTCTAAAATTGCTGTAGTCCCAGCAGGACCTTGAAATATTTATACTGAGATTTGCATTCCAACACCAATGGGTTTATTTGTTATGGTTGGGCAAAGAGCAGTAATGAAGTGCAAAGTGTTGTAAGCCCTATCTGGCAATCAGGGTGGATTTTTTCCTGTAAAATAGAAGTGTGATTTGTTCCTACACTTTGCATGAAGTTCCTGCATTTTGCACTACCATACTAAGTAAGACCATAAAAATACCCAGGGTGACATTCTTTGCTGTAGCATTTAAAATGTGTCCCTGTACAGTCCTGCATGCTGCCCCTTTTCTGATGTGATGTTTTGTGATGTTAAGACACTGTTTTTCTCCTCTTGTCCCTTCTCCCTTTTTTCAATCTATGTCTTCCCTCTGTCTTTTTTTCCCTTTTGTTGTGACATATTGGTCTTGATCAAAATGTTCCTCTGCAAACTACCATCTCACTGACCCTGAATGCGTTGCCTAATTTAACCCTATCATTAATTTACTACATACCTCCTAACTACACCTACTATTATTTACCCTCCTTTGTATTTGTATAATTTCTTACTGTTCCTATAACTCTCACTCCCTACATATTATTCATATGAATACCCATTTACCTTTACCCCCAAATGCAAATGTTCCTTCCCCATTTATGTCAATTTCCCACACTCCCAACGCTCCCTTCTTGTCTGTGCCAAATCATTGCCCCTGTACCCTGTGGGTCTGCTGGTTTTGTTTTACAGTCACTGTCTCCATCAGATATTAGAAAGTGTTTGTTTCACACACTCCTGTGACATTGTGCACAGGGACTTGAAGGTTAGTATTTATGAAGGGCAAGGGGGTGACATGGCATGGGGCCCAGGTGAGAAGCGGCGCATCGTGGGGTTCTGCACCCTTCACTACACTCTATACCATCTGGCTCTGGGGAAACAGTGCATGGGGAGATGGGGTGATGATATGTAGCGATGGTGGGCGTGTGCATCCGGGAGGGCATGAAGGGGTACAGATATTGCTTAACTATGCCCTTAAGAAGAGTATGGACTTACAAAATATAGAGCTGTCTTCTGAAATATAAATTAATTGTCCCTGATCAAACATGTATATCTTGTTTGGACCGTTCCTGTCAATTCAAGGGTACCTGTCACCTACACAATGGAGGCAGTCATTTTGTGAGTGAATATTCAAAAGGTTGAAGGTAATCTTTTTACTACGAACTAGGAATGTCACTAAGACAGGAGGAATCATTATTGAGGCATGAGAAGCCACATGGGCTATTTTCCAAAATGGCTCTCTACTTTCAGTAAGGGACAGGAAAACTCATCATCCTGCAGCACAAACAATGAAAGGTGCATTATACCAGTTTTTAATTCACACGATTCAGTACATTTTCTGAGATACTTTTAGTATTATTTATTATTATTATTTTATTACAGGTACTTATATAGTATTACCCTGTATACTGATTTTTTCAAAATAAGAGATCCAATGATAAAATCTTTAGTATTAATCTATATAGTAGTATTTTCCTATTAAGAAATTCAATGGGACCCTTAGTATTACTCGATACAATGATTATTTTCATAATAAAAGATAGGATCTCATATAGCACCATCTACTGGATGATAAAAGGCAGTACATGGCATCATCAAATTTCTGTACTGAATAGCCTCAATGATGCATCTTATCATCAGATCGCCAGAGGAACCTGTCCTACAATATATGTATGCTTGTATGTCATATGACTATTCTGAGTTAGTTCACAATACTCTCTGTTTATTGTCTGTTACCCTTCACTGCCACCTTTCTTCCTATACTCTGTTTGCTTGTTATCCCCTTTTCACCTTGACTTCATTTTATTATTCTCATCCAATAAACAGAGAGTGAGTGAGCACTGTACAGTCAGATGCATTTCAAGTCCCAGCATGCACAGCTCTGTACAGCTGCCTGTGGGAACATGGAGTGTGCAGCAATGCAGGAGGCGTATACAAAGCATTGCATTGCTTGTGACGTGATACTTTGCATCTAACTTGCATGATATCTACTTGTGCTGCATTTAATATACTCATAAGTACCCTTTCTCCCCACTCCTTGAATTAATCACCCATCACTTTCTGACTGTCATCTTCAAAAAGCATCTTCTGTTCTTTATGTTATACATTATTTTCTCTTTAGCGTGTAACCAGCATTTCTTATCTTCTCCCCAACATCTCTTTCTCTGTCCCTCTCCTCAGTCCCTCTCCCCCTCTCTTCTCTGCATTTCTTTTGCTTGTTTTTTGCTCTCTTTGGCACCTATTTTTAGTTTCTCTCCTCCTCCATCTGTCTCTTCTATGTCCTCCCCCTCCTGCGCTCTCTCCTGTCTCTTCCATGTGTCTCTCAGTTGATAATATTATGTGCACACCACTCTGCACCGCATGTCTGCATTTCCTGAACTACGGCACCGTTGGGCTTATTCAAAAAAAGCAGAGTAAAGAGCAATCACGGTGTTGAAAGTGCAGTAATCCATAGCAACCAGTCAGATTTCAGTTTTCTGCTGTCTTATCAGTGAAATGTAAATTCTAATTGCTTGCTTTGGAATACTCAACTTTGCATATTGTTTGCCTAAATAAATAAGCTTGTGTTTGCTGATATCCAGGGACAAGTGTCAG